TAAGGATTTGGTGATCTGGTCATAGAAGGCCACCAGGTTGGTCTGACAGGACCTGCCTCTAATGAACCCGTGTTGATTGCCCCTAAGCATAATCTCCCCCGCTGGCCCCTCGTGGATATGCGCCAGAATAATTTTCTCAAAAAGCTTACCCAGGATTGAGGTAAGACTGACTGGCCTATATTTTCCTGGGTCCTCCTTCCTCTGCATTTTGAAGATGGGAACCACATTGGCCCTCTTCCAGTCCTCTGGCACCACACCAGAGCACCACTGCAGGCATGTGCCTGAATTTTCTCTGTCCAGAGAGAATGTCTGTCCAGTTTCAAACCAGTTCACCCTAGTCGGGTTAGACTAACCTGCAAAAATTGAATAAATTCAGGCTCAGGCTTTTTGAACATCTGTCCCTAGCCCTGTTATGTTACAGATCTGAACCAGTTTCTGATCGCTTATCTCTATTTATGTGTAACTTCTGTCCCTAGTCCAGGTGGCTACACAGACTAACTAGTCTTTAAATAATCTGACTTGGACAAATGCATTTTCAGTCTCTTGCCCTAACCAAAATCCCTGGGAAGAGGATAATTATTTTTCCAGTTCATGTAATCCTGAGGCCTATGCGAACTGATTGGTTACAGTGTAGATAACATTTATTTACATCTTGCTCATAACACCTTTTCTTCATCATATACTATCCTTCTATTATTGCAGAGGGGGTTTTGCATTACCAAATCAAAATTAATATATAACTTGTATTATATAAAATCCTCTGATTTTTTTTTTTTCCTTTTGTAGAGGCCAGGGAGAAAGGTGCAGATGTATATTACTAAGAGACCAAAACTAAAACCAAGTGAATGACCATCTCAGCAGTTATCTGCTATAGTAATTGGAATTAGAAAATAGATGGTATGGCCATTTATAAATGCTACTATGTTATTCAGTTCAGATGAACTAAGTCATTTAACATCACCTACTGTATTGCTTCAGTTATTTTAACGTTTTCAGTTGTGCCTCCATGTTATGTTATATAATATGATTCAAGCAAATAATAAATAGCAGTCTAAAGGGACAAAGGAGGTACAACAATCCCTTTTCCTAGATTTTCATTAGGTTTTTGTTACTGTACTACTTGTATAGAAACAGTATCCATGAGTGAAATCTCTTGCCATTTTAGATTGAACACCTTGATGTCCTACCAGAGTTTGGCATTCAGTCTGAACAAAAAGGAGATGACCCAAATCGAGATGAGGAGGAAGAGGAGGACCTTGTGTTTGCACTGACAGATTATTCCCAGCATTCCAAGGCAGAGAGCACTGATCATGGACCACAGCTACAGACAGTAGAACTGTTGCAACATCAAAAGCAGGTACTGTACTAGAAAGGAAAGGCAGTTCTGTATTATGTCCTATGAATTAATGCTGTAAATGTTTATGATTCATTTTGTTCTGTTTCTGTGATATTTCATCAAAAATACCTTGTATCATACACAACTCAGTAATTCTGGCTACATAGCAGTTGTAATGGGTATGATTCATTATATTTATATTTAATCAGGAGCCAGGTGACTACTACTGCCTGTTGGCAGTTGCTGTGAGTGAAAAATCCCATTTCCTTTCATGGCTGTTTGCCCAGGCACATATATCAATACCTGATGGCTTGCAGAATTTGCATAGCCATCTTGGCTGATTAAGATGGAATTTGACCATCCAGCCATTAGTAAGGAAAGGTCCTTTTTATTTCATTTAAATAATTTAAGAATTTAGCATATGCATTTAATGTCCTTGTTAAAACTGCATTGTTAGAAAAACAATGCAAAAGTGCTTTCATCATATTGGACATTGTTTTTAAATGCCTAAAAGCAAATCCTAAAAGTCTCCTGGGCCACACCCAACTCAGGTTAGGGCTATCGACATATGGAGGATTTAACCTGCAATAGATGTAAACAGATCAGCCACCTGGCTTAATTTTCAGATTGTGTATTTTAAGATGATTTCAAAAGCTAACTGTTTGAACAGAAAAACTTCTTAGTGGTATAAACAACTGTTACTGAACATTGCAAAAGTTTAGTGTAAACAGCAAGTGTTACAACTCGAGCATGAAACAAAATGCAATGGGGAATATCTTTTTAAGTGTCTTTCTATATGACACAGCAGTACCATTAAAAACCCAGTTCTCCTAGAAATTATAGGCAATAGGCATATGTCTCATGAGACAGCAGATTCGTGCTAAGCCATCAGATTGTTGAACATACGCGAGTGTGGCTGTACAGCCCAATTCTTGAATGACAGTCCCTTCCACACTTATCAAACGTGAAGTTTGTATCTAAACCCTGAATGTGGTGCGGGGTTCTCTCCTCTGGATGTTGGGTTCTTCTTTCCTCAAACATCTCCGTTCCATGCTTAATAGATTGTGATCAAGTGCTTCAGTACTCAGCAGTATTCCCACCTTTGTTTGGCTCAATGTTCATTGCCTTCATATTGGTCTGGAAAACTTTGAAATGGAGATAAAGACCCTGTGTGGTCTTCTTCATGTAAAGAGTTCTCCATACAGGAGATCTTTGGTATACAGCCATTGTCCATTCTCTGCATATGACCAAGCCGTCAGAGTTGACACTGACTGAAAAGACAATGGGTGATCAGAATGTTGGCATGTTCCAGCATAGGAAACTTTGTCCTGCCAGGAAATTCCTAGAATGCTGCAAAAGCAACAAAAATGGAAATTGTTGAGGCACTTTTCTTGAGTATAAGGTTCAGGATTTTTCCTTACGAAAGGGTGTTGATAACACAAGCATGATATACTTTAACCTTGGTCTTAACAGTCAGCTTGCTGTTGCTCCACCCTCGTTTGCTCAACCTGCTCGTGATACCTGATGTTTTACCAGTATGGTTATTCAGTTCGACCTCAGGTATCAAGCTGCTGATAACAATGGAACCAGTATGTAAATGTACTTACAACATCCAGTACATTTTCACCTATTGTGGTTGCTGGTGCTGAATCAGTGTTCTGGCCCATAACACTGGTCTTCATGATGCTGATTGTGAGACCAAACCCTTGGCATGCATGAGCAAAGCAACAGATGTGGCTTTGAAGGTCACTCTCTGTGTGGGCTATCAGTGCAGCATCATCAGCAAACCAGCAGTTCATGAGTCAAAACTTTCCACATTTTAATCTTCACTTTAAAGCATGTAAGGTTAAATACTTTTCCATCTGAGCATGTATGTAGATAAATACCTTCAGTGGTGGTCCCAAAAGCATACATCTGAAGAAAAGAAGAGAAAATACCTAGTGGGTTTGGGACAAAAACACAGCCCTGTTTGACTCCACTTCAAATCTCAAAAGCCTCAGATGTTGATCCATCATAGCTGTTTCCCACATAGAAAGTGTGGATTATGCTGAGGAGGTTTGATAGACAACCAATCTTTTCCAATATTTTTATCAGGCCTTTTCTGATGACAAAGTCAAAGGCTTCGGTCAGGTCAGTAAAGGCTATATAGAGGGGTCTCCTTTGTTGCCTACATTTTTTTTGGATATGTTGGAGTGAGAAGATCATATCTATGTTGGACCTACTAGCTCTGAAGCTGTAGTGCAACTCATGGTAAACACAGTCAGCAAGGTTCTGAAGTCTTCTGAGCACCACCTGAGCAATGATTTTTCCAATAAAGCTTAGTAGTGAAATTCCATAATAGTAGTTACAGTTGCTGTGGTCACCTTTATTTTTGTACAGACTGACTATATTGAAATCTTGCATATCTTGTAGCCTGTCCATACTGTCCAGTAGTGAGTAAGAAGCTGATATGTCCTATGAACTACACCAATGTAAAGTCTGATTTTTCTACCCTAAAAAAGGACAAATAGCCATTGACACAAAATAGAGTATGAAGCTGTGGAATCTTGTCTAATTCCCCAGATATTTCTGCCTGGTACACGCTGTGCTGCTTAACCTAGTTCACAGAATATGGTAGAAGCTCTATAAATGACAACAACAATGATGTGCATTCAAACAGGGACAGAGCTAAGGTCTTTGACATACTGGTAGTTCTTTGTGAAGAGCATGTTAGGATTTCTAAAAGGAAAATGCTAAAACAAAAACATTCCGTTATGTGGACTTACTGGAAATGGTAGAATGTTGTGCAAGACCCATATTCAGCAGGGTAACTACTCCTGAAACCTTACTGTCATACACTTCCCAATCTCTGGCTGCCTTAAGATGGGGTGAATATCTTCCTGCAAAGGGATTTTGCTGGTAAGTAATGTAACAGGCTGTATTAACTTACTACCAGAATCTTTGTGGGTCTGGGGGGGGAAGTCTGTTTCCAATCTAGTCTTACCCCTTCACACTTCCTCTGCCCTCACCACATCCCCCAACCCTCAGGGGCTGTAGATGGCACCTGGGAGCAGGAAGATGGTGCTTCAAAAACGTAATTTCCATGTCTGTTGAGGGAGGATCATGCTCAGAAAGAGCCATCCATGTGCTGTGATCTGGACCTATGCTATTCCAAATATGTCTTTCCCAGGGCTGTGAGATCTGCTATAGGAAACTGTTTGCCTTCATTCTGTGGTAACACTAGAGTGTTTTTTAGAGGGATGCAACTACCAGTACTTCTCATGTTCAGTGCTTAACTTTAAATTGGACATTTTTATGAGAGAGAAGGAATCACAGAAGTGTGGTCTATAGACAGTTATAGTCTATAGACAACCTGATGAAGAATATTTCACATTCCATAGCTCGTTGTCACGGAGCAGGGTCCTAGGGGTGGCGGTGATCTCCCCTAGCACCCCCTACTGTGCCAAGTTTGCTTTAAAGCGCCCTCATTCTCGTCTGCCATGTCTTGATCTTAAATATATTAAAGGGAGGCTGCCTTTCCGTCCTCTTGGTCATGGTGCTCCTGCTACCCCACATCTCACTTCTATAATGGGGTTCCAGGTACCCCAGCCTTATGGGTTATGCGTGGCTCCAACCACCCCTGTACCACGCCCCAAGCCTCGCAGATGTACCAGATGTAGATGTTACTGGACGTTGTTTGGTCTGTCTCGCTCTCTGCGCCCTCTCTGGTGCTCTGGCTTTCCACAGCCTTGTCTCACAACCGCACCCCACAAGTGCTCTAGCTTTCTGCAGCCTTGTCTCGCAACCGCGCCCCACAGGCGCTCTGGCTTTCCCCATCCTCGTTTCACAACCATGTCCCACAGGCGCTCTTCAATCACTGCCCCTTTGCTCTGGGACTCCTCATGCTGCCCCCTTTGCTCTGGGGCTCCTCACGCTGCCCCCTTTGCTCTGGGGCTTCTTGCATTGGGGCTCAGGTGACCGTAGCCATGCCTGGCCCCAACTCTCCTCCTCAGGGTCTCGAACCCGGCTGCAGGGCTCAGGTGGCCTCGGCCTTACCTGGCCTCCAACTCTTCGCTTCCCTTCCCAGGGCTGGGGTCAGTTTATCCCAAAATGCTGTGCCCACTCTGGGGTCTTTCTTGCTGCTCCCCCTCTCTGGGGCTGGCGTTCCCACGCTGCCATGGGTCCCCTATGAGGCCTCCTCCAACCCCTAATAGCCTCACCCAAACCACCAACTGTCAACACAAACTCAATCCCTTTGGCTATAACATAAACTTATGTCATCTGGCCATAATCGCATTCAAACCTGTCACAGGATTTCTCCATCTCTCACCCATAACAACTGCCTGTGCATTCTGGCCTCTTCCTTTTCCTTACTCTGGCAGAGTTCCTACCCCTATGGCTGCTGGCAGAGAACTGCTGGCCTGGCCTCTGCCCTGGGTTTAAATGGGAACCAGGCCCTACCCCTTCCAGTCAGCTGACTCCCAATGGTTGCCCTAGCAACCTGCACCTGTGCCTCTTCACTCACTGCTAGGGCTCTTTCCCTAGCAGTTTCCCCTCTTTACAAGGAGCAGGGCACCTAAGTGCTCTGCGACACTCGTCTATCTTTCCCAATTATATAGTTGGTCCAATAAAAATTACCATCCTAAGAAATGCTTGCCATGTCTATAGACAAATGCATGCTCTCTGTGTAAAAATATGGTGGCTTTTGCCTTCCCTATTTTGGCTTTCAGTAATCAAGAATTCCATTCTTCTGCAATAGTGTAGGAAAGGACACCCAGGCCACATCCAGGCGAGCACGGCCATGCGGTATGTGGCACTGCAAACACCTCTGTGGTGCCACATACTGCATGTTCTGTTGTTCTCTGTGCTGCAAGTGTTGCCCTGTGGGGTCAGGCCAATGCTCAGTATCTCAGTGTCATGCTGTTAGACATGAGGGCATGGTATACAATTGCGTGCGCGCGCACACGCACACACACACACACACAAATCAATTAGATGCACACACACACTCTAGGTGCATGCACACACATACATACTACCAA